GAGCGCGCGCAGCCCGACGTGCACTTCTTCCAGGGCCTGCGCCTCCGGGTGAGCGGACGGCGTTCGGGTTGGCTGTGGGGGCGGAGCCTGGAGCCGGGGCGGAAATGGGTGGGGCCTCTAGGTGGGGCGGGGCCTAGGGCTAAGGCGGGATCACAGCAAGGAAGGGCATGGGACCTGGGAAGGAAGTTCTGAAAGGGAGTGGGGTTTGAAGAGACTGGACCCAGGGTCAAGATAGCACATGAGGGTGGGATGAGGACTTGAACAGAACATGGGCAAGTAGGGCCTGGAGGAGCAGCCAGGACGAGGATGCGGGCGGGAAACCACCTGGACTGGGTCTCCATGGGCGGGGTCGTGGTTTGGGGCAGGGACAGGTGTACGGCGAGGGGTGAGTCCAGAGTGTGGACGTGCATGGGTCCATAGGCGTGAACGATGGCCGCACGTGGGCTGGGACGGAGCAGAAAAATCGGCCAGGGGCGTGGCCCGGGTAGGAAGGGGGTGCGGCGTGGGGAGGCGTGGCCTGATGTGTGATTGGCAGGCGGAGCTGATCCGAGAGGACATCCAGGGGGCTCTGCACAATTACCGCTCGGGCCGCGGGGAGCGCAGGGCGGCGGCGCTCAGGTGAGAGGGAAGAAGTTGGCGGGGTCTCTGGGAAGCCGGTTTCCCCTCCCTGTGCCTCAGTCTACAACACCAGACTGGAACAGAGCAAGTTTTGCATGGAGTCAAGCACAACCTAGTCGAGTCTTGTCTGTACCTCCTAGACGAGCTGACTCCTTCCCAGAACTCTTACTTCTTTTCCCTGTTCCTGTCCAGGCCCTCAGTTTCACTCTAGAGAGGTGCTACCCCTCCCCATATCGGATTTCTCCCTACCTCGTTGAACTTGTTTACTCCCTTTGAGCCTCAGTGTGTCTCGTTCTGCGCCCCGGATTTCTCCCTCCATGGACCCCTCAGTGGACCCAGCCTTGGTGTCCCCGTTGCCCTCTGCAGGGCCACGCAGGAGGAGTTGCAGCGCGACCGCTCGCC